ATAGAGATAGTTTGCGGAGCTATTGCGTGTGACCGCTGGGAGAACATCCCTTCTTGCTGGTTTGTGGCCTTCCTCTCCTGGGAGAACAGTGACCTCTAGTGGCTTATGCTGGGCAGCTGTGTGCAGATGGGGCTTCTGATTCTTGCCTGGCCACTATGGAGTTTAGCTTGGTGATTGCTTTGGGCCTGGCCTGTCTCAGGTTGCTGCTCCGATATTGTGGAGCTGTGTTGGAGGGGAAATGGCCGGGAGGCTGTTTATCTCTGTGAGGGGCCTCCGAGCTTCGCTACTGCCCAGGGGGTTAGGGCGCCCGGAGTTCCCCGGGATTCCCAGCTGCTGGGCTAATTTTCCAGGACGCTTCCGTCCAGGTGTGGGGTCACTGTGCCTTTTAAGACTTTCAAAAAGCACTCACTTTTCTTTGTCCCAGGGGCGCCGGCTGCAGAGACCCACTCACAGGTCTTACTGTCCTGTTTCCCTAGTTTCCAGCACACCACGCCCTGTGTGTCTGCACTCCCGGTGCGGATGGCTAAGGCTGGCTATTTAGCAGTCCTGGGCTCCCTCTCCCCACTCCGACTCCTCTCCTCCTGCCAGGAGCTGCAGTGAGGGGCGCTCGGGTCCCGCTGGGCCGCGGCTTGTATCTTACCCCCTTCCTGAGGCGCTGGGTTCTCGCAGGTGTGGATATTGTTTGGCTGTTGTCCTGTGTCTTCTGGTCTCTCTTTTAGGAATAGTTGTATTTGTTGTAGTTTCAAAAACACACATGGTTTTGAGAGGAGATTTCTGCTGCTCTACTCATGCCGCCATCTTGACTATGCCCCAACTAATTTGGTTTTAAATCCCTCCATTGTTTATTTAATTTCAGCTACTGTATTTTTTAGGAGTCTGTTTCCCTCCTGAATTCATACCTTAGCTTTGAATATTTTTCTGTAGCTCCCTTAGCATGCTTATGATTTTTATTTTGAATTCTTTTTCAGGAAGATTGGTGTTTTCAGTCTCACTGAGCCCTCTTTCTGGTCTTGGAGGGATTTTAGATTGAACAAGGTTCTTCTGCATTTTCATAATCCTATTGGATAGTGAGAAATATTAGGTTTGTGTAGGCAGTGCCCTCTCGTTCTCAGAAGCTCTGTTTTTCGGAGCTGTCCAGAACCTGGAACAGTAGCTGTGGTTGCAGGCAAGTGGTGCCAGGGCCTGCCAGGTGGACAAAGACCTTTCCTGTTCCCTGGCCTCAGTGTCTGCCTCTGCTCTCATGGCCAGTCAGCCATGTCCAGGGAGTGGGCTCTGGGTTAATCCCCTATGTTGCTGTGGGTGGGGTGGCCCTCAGGATGGCCTAGGGCTATGACGGGGGTCATAGCTGAGTGGTGCTGGTGTCTGCCTGGAGGACAAAGCCCTTTCCTGCTTCCTGGTCGTAGTGTCTGCCTCCATTGGCCTGGTTGGTTAGCTGCATGCAGGGAGAAGCCTCTGCATTAAGCTGTGTAGTTTCTGTAGGTGGGTCTGCCTTCTGTGTGGTCTGGAGCAATGGCAGGGACAGTGGTTTGCATGCAGGTGCTGGTGGGAAGGAAGAATTGGCAGGCTGATTATTGCAGTGAGGGGCCTCGGTGCTGCATTGTCAGCAGTTGGATGGAGCGCCTGAAGCTCCTGAAAATTCCCAACCTGCTGGGCTGAGTGTGCCAGGACGATTTTGTCCACCTGTTCCTTCTCCTAAACCCTTGCCCCTTTAGCAGCCCTCTCACTCTTGAGAAGTCTTTCAAAGCACCCATGTTTATTTTGTCCCAGGGCAGCTGGTTTGGAACCTGTTCACAGTCTTAGTCTCTGACTTTGGTTTTCACTCCCTTTAATCTCCAGAGCACCATACAGTGTGGGTTTGTGCTCTCAGAGTAGATTTCTGGGGCTTGTTTAGCAGTCCTGAGCTTCTCCTCCCTCCCGGCTCTGATTCTCTTCCTCCTGCTGGTGAGCTGGGGTGGGGAGAGTGCTCCATTCCCTCTGGGTCACGGCTTTGTTACTTTATCCTTCTCCGTGAGATGTTCTCTTCTCCCAGATTTTAGACTAGCTGTTGCAATCTTATTTCTGGTCACTCTTTTAGGAATAGTTGTATTTGCTGTATTTTCATAATACATGTGGTTTGTTGAGGAGATATCCTCCTCTCCTCTCACACTGCTGTCTTTTTTCTCCAACTAGGTTTTCTAATTTTTATAAGGTTTTTGATATCTTTTGAGATTATATGAGTTTTTTCTTTTGTTACTGAAATGAGTTGGATTAATACATTTGCTAATGTTGGACCATTCCTGAATTATTGGAATGACTTCTATTTGGTCATGATGTTTCCTTTAATACAGTACTAAAATTTGTTCATTTATATGTTCATAGTGTATATGGCCTCTAGTTTTTATGTTGTTTTTATTAAGTTTTGTACTGGGTCATTATGTCTATTCTTTTAATTGTGAAGTTTTATATAATCTCATAACATTTTTGAATCATAGAGTGAGGCATTCTGACATAGTAGGTAAAAACATTGGCTTTGTATCAAATAGTCCTAAATTTCAATATCAGGTTTGTTACTCTCTCTGTGTGACTTTAGTTTTATTCTTTTTAAAACAGTTACTAGAATCAGCTTTATAAAGTTGTTGTGAGTTTTTGTTATATTTTGAGTGCTTTTCATATATCAAGTGTTTCATGTGTAATTGTTTAATAAAGTACTATTCTTGTTTTGTAAATGAAGAAATTGAGGCAGAGAGAGGTTAAATAACAAAGATTACATAGTTAATAAGTAGATTTGAACTAGAGCCCACTTAAATGGTGCAAAAGATATAATAAACATTTGATAAATTGTGCTAATTGCTTCTTTTGTTATTTTATTGAATCTAATGTAGATACACCATTATTTGATGTATCACTAAGAAGGAAAAGGCTGCCTATGAGGCAATACTTTCATTATGAAAATATTCCCCCTGCTGTCATTTTTGTTCCATTCATATTGTAATTAAATATAAGAAACATGTTAAATATGTATTTAAAAATAATTTAAAATAAAATATTATGGGTCATCTTTGCCTAGGCTAAGATAACTTTAGCACAATTTGATGCCCATCTTACCTCTTAGATTTTATTGAGGTAATATTAAATCTTAATTCCAGTTTAAGTTAAAAATATATGCATCTTATTCTTAACAATTGTTTTAAACGTCACAACTCTGAGACCAGTTGTTTAGACCTAATCATTACATTTGCCATTTGGTTTATAGCATGCCTTCCTTTTCTCAGTGATGTTTGCCCTAATTCATTTATGGTTTATCTTAATTATCCCGAGTGATTTTCCTCCCAGAATCAGTAATTGATTTGTTTTCTGAATCCTTGCACTTTCAAAATGGCTTTCTTTTGTCCATACTAGGAATGCTACTTTGTGAATTCAATTCTGTATGTAGAATTACTGCTTTATAATTTTCTTTAAAAATTTGATCCTTATCCCATTACCTTCTAGCTTTAGTATTATAGGTAAAAAGTTGATAAATATTACTTTGCTTTGTAGTTAATGTGTTATTTACTCACTCTCATTTGTTTACATTCTTACACTTAACTCCCTCCACTGATCAGTCTTTGTGAAGAATTTTTTTGTGTGTGTGTGTGAATTTTGAGACTCAGGAATTAGGGTTTTTCGTTTTTGTTTTTTTTTTTTACATATGAGCCTTTGCATGCATCACTTTTATTCCTCTCTGAAGACTATTGAATGAGATTTTTGGATTTGGAAAATTAGCTGTGCAATTTTCTTATTATTCTGTTAATGCTTTGTTCCATCTTTGCTTTTTTTTCTGCATATTAGATTCTCTAGAATTCATCTTCCATGTGTCTTTTTTCCTTATAACATAAATCTGTTTATCATCTTTTCCTAAGGATGGGAATTCCCACGCTAGTATTCACTTCACTCATTTGGAGTCAGCACTTTCTATTACTCTTTTCACTGTATTTGCATGTTTTTGGACACAGTGTTCATTTACAGGACTTTCTTATTTTTATCCTTTTTTTCATGTAAATCTGTCATATTTTAGCAATGAGGAAATCTTGAATCTCACTGACAGGAATTTAAAAAAATTTATGTCTTCACTGTTTTTTGTATTTTATCTTATTTTAGATGTAGGCATTTGGTCTAAGTGGCTTTTCTTTTGAGTCCCCAGGTTTTTTTCATTATTTGTTAATTTTTCATTGATTACTTGTATTTTTTTTTAAGCATTCATTGTATGCTAGTGTACTAGTTTGCTGGGTGGCGTGAACAGCAGAAGTGGATTCCCTCGCAGTTGAGTTCACGGTCTCAGGCATCAGCAGGTTTGGTTTCTTCTGCAGCTCCTCTTCTTGCTTGTAAATGTCTGCCTTCTCACTGTGCCCTCACTTGGTATGTTATCTTTTTTTAAAAATTGAAGTGTAGTTGATAAATAACATTTTATTGATTTCAGGTATACAACACAGTGGTTCAACAGTTACACAAATTATTAAATCCTCACCCCAACTAGTGCAATTACTGTTAACGGTAACGTTAACAGAACCATTGGCTAAATTCTCCAAGCTTCACTTTCATCCCAAGACCAGCTTAAATTATGATTGAGATTTTTGTGCTCCTTTATCTCTCTCATCCTCCCATGGTATTTTATCTTTGTGTGTGCATCCCTGTATCTCTGTGTTTCCAAATTTCTTTTTATGAGGATGTCAGTCAGATTGGATTAGGGTCTAATCTAATGACTTCATTTTTACAGTCACCTCTTTCAAGGCCCCTTCTCCAAATGTGGTCACATTATGAAGTACTCAGGGTTAGTGCTTCAACCTGTGAATTTGGAGAGGGGGCACCCACAGTTCAGTCCATATTAGGTAGGATGATTATATGGTATTTTCCCTCCCCTTGGTTATTTACTTATTTTTTTATTGTGCCACATGACAGTGTATCATTGGACAGTGGTGTATGGGGTTCAAGTTATTGATACTTTTTTAATTTTAGATATCTTGTTTAATTTTTCTCCTTTGTAGTCAATGGAAATATTTCAGTCAAAATTAGAAGAAGCTGAAAATATTTCATCCATGAAAGAAGATTGTAGAAGAGAAAGGTGGAGAAACCAATGTATTCAGATAAAGCACAAAGAAATCAAGACAGTAGAAGGTCAGACTTGGTAAAATATAATAAAAATTCAAGGCATAGATACAGTTCAACAGATATTACACACAATATCAATAAAGGTAAATTTAGTGGTGATGAAAAAGATAATAGATCTGAGACTTCAGAAACACACAGAAGAGAATCCAGTCAAAGCCAAAATCAAGTGCTTTCTTCTCTTGGAAATTTGAGACCTAAATTCTTAAGACCTGATGATGAAGAACTGTCATTTCAAAGCAAGGGCAGAAAGTTGGAGCCATCTAGTTCATCTTCAGCACTGGTTGCTCAGGGTTCTGTGCATTGTGGTTTTCGAAAACCTGCAGAGAACAGTGACGAAAGTTTATCATCATGGAGTCTCTCTGATGGAAGAGAAGGAGAAAGGAGACATTCAAATCGAAAGCCATTGAAAAGCAGGCGCAGTGTTGACTCTGAATGCATTTCAGGAGATGTGAGACAAAAGTCACAAGATGAGACCTTGAGAGATGACACCCTGAAAGGAGAACATCTATGGGACAAAAAGTCTTCATCTGCTGGGTATTGTGTCATTTGTTTTTTAAACTGATAAATGAATATTAAGGTCCAGAGGATTCAAAGAACTGAACTATATTTTTAGAACATCAGTTCATAGGTATGAGTAATGGTTCCTGTTAAATTTTTTTTTTTTTGGACAAGATTAAATTTTTATTATTCTGAACATTAGGAATATGCCATACTTTATAGTGCTACATTAAAAGAAAATGCACATGTGTATGCATGCATACACACAAATTTATTAGGGAAAATTTCTGGATTGTCTAGACTTCTTGGTGCATCTCCACAGCATTATGCCCCATTACATTAAATTTCTTCCTTTTCATCATTTTTAGCTCTTGACAATTGCTCTGCTTAATTAACTCAATCAGTTGTGGATTACTGCCAGTTATGTTTGCAGAAACCGTGGCAGTTTATTAATTCTCATAAATGCCAAAAGATGACAGAAGCACTGGAGGACTGATAATTAAATGCATCATTTAATTTCTAGCCTATAAGTGGAATTTAGCTTGTATTAGTTTTCAGGTTATTGGCAGTGTGTAGACTCTGGAATAGCACCTTCCCTTGAGTCTAGGCGGTATGTGACCCACATGGGAATTCATGCATGAATCATGGCTAAACTGATTTTTCCATTGCCTCTAACAGTGTACACAACATTGATGTTTTATTGTAAACCATCCATGAGCAAAATTTTAAGATCCTTGAAGATATTATAATATCTTGAGAAGTACGTGCCAAAAGTATCTACCCAGTTATTAAATTAGTCATCAGTACCTATCTTTGTGGCCACTATTTTCTTTGCAATGGGATAGTCTTATTTTTTTAGGAATAGCAAGAGCTATTTGAATTCTCTTAGAACCTCCTTGTGTTTAAATGTCTAGTTTAACCTGGTAATGTAGCAAAAATAGCAACATTACTCAGGTCACAACGGGATGGTTCACAATAAATTGTATGTGTGGTTACTTTGGTATTAGGTTTATTATATTATCTAAAAATTTTTCTACAGATCTTATTTATTGATTTAATTTAGGGTAAATTATTTAAGACATGAAAAAAATCAGATACTAATTTGATTTAAATGTTTTTCAGATAAGGCCAGTGAGAATTCAATATATAATTGCTAAGAATAGTTTCTTTAGTTTCCAAAGCCTATTCATGCTTCCTTAGAAATACATATATATGTTATATTCAACCAATCAAGATATTCTTTTATCAAAAGATACTTGATGTCTAGACAAATATTTTACCAGATCTATTTGTATTCCTTGAACTTTTCTGTGCAAAAAAGTTTTGTTGAGAAAATAAAAGCAAATTGCATAATAGACCTTAACACATATTTGACAAGTGTTGGCCTCACAGTTCCAGAATAGAAACCAACTGATAAGATATGAGAGTCAGTAGATCTAGCTTAGCAACATTATGCTCTTTCATTGATTGTACTCCAAGTGTCTGAAGGAGGTGTGCAATAGGATTATGTCATGCTTGGATATATTGGATGTGTGTGTATACATATTGTACAAATAAATCATTTATGTTCTCATGTACATAGAGTTTCTTCAACTAGTTCATTTGCTGCTGGTCTAGCTTCTGCTTGTACCTTGATTACTCCCAAATTTGTCTTCAGCACTTGTCTTAGTCCTACTTTCTAATTTCATATTCTCTTCAGTCCCCAATTCACCAGTATGTCCTCATGTTCCCTTGGGTTTCCAGAGATGGGGCACTGGTAACACACATTTATTTCCATTTCCTGTTTAAAGGCTGGAGCAGCAGATAGCAGGGATTTTTGCTCCCAGTTGCCCTCCAAATTCCTCTTTGGATATGGCGTCGTCTGCTCCAGAGAAGCTCAACAGGGAGTACTGGAGCATTGCCAAATGACCCCAGGGGAACAACTCTGCCGCTAGTCCAGCAGTCCGGGACAGAGCACGGGGAAGCAGAGGCATGCAGGCTGGCAGCGGCGGCAGCGGCGCCCCGAGTCCGTCGACCTCGGGTCCCCTGGGCTGCGCGTCGGAGTCCCCCCTCGGGGAGGAGCAGCCGCCCCTCCCCGCCCGGGGCCGCGCCTCGAGGGCCGGCCGAGCCCCCGTCCGGAGCCCCGCCCGAGCCGCGGCACCGAGGCGCGCGGGCGCTGGCAGCCCGGCCCCGGCAGCCCGGCCCCGGCTTCCTCGGCCGCCGGCCCCGCGCTCGCCGTCCCCGCAGCGCCCTGGTTCCTGTTAAATTTTATGGAAGAAGTAAGATACGCACATTTAACAGTTGAGTAGGTTTGTTTTATGGATTGCATTTTATTTCAGTTTTATTTAACAAAACTGGAAAAAGAATTCATTAGCTTTATTAGCTCAAAATTTGTTGCTCTTTGGCAGTGTAAAAAACTGAATGAGTTTCCTGGACTTGCCATAGGAATGAGGAGGGAGATGTCTAGGCTGGCATGTGCATACAGTGAGACAACGAATTTGACCGGATCTGTACTGTTGGAACTCAACCAGGAGTTGGGAGGGGTGCAAGTTGTAACACTCCAAAATCTTATGACTATAGACTATCTACGGTTAAAAGAACATATGGGATGTGAACAGATCCCAGAAATGGGCTGCTTTAATTTGTCTGATTGTTCAAGTACAGTTGGACAATATCCATCATATCATAAATTTTCACAAATGCCTAGGGTGCCTAAATGGTTTTCTTGGCTTCACTGGAGATGGATGGTAATTATAGATTTGCTTTGTTTATATCACCGTATTCCTATTATGTTAATATGTGTGTGCAAATTAGTAGTTTAAAACCTATACATACTTAAGGTACTCTACAAGAAGATATGTCAAAGAAATAATCCATTCTCCCATGTTTCCTTCCATATGCTACATCTATAGCTTTTCTTCTTCCTTCCTAA